CTTCCTCCTCCCACCCCAAAGAATTATTTTATAGGGTATCTTCCAACCCCCAAAAGTGATTTCACAGGGTTTGTTCCAACCCCCAAAAATTATTTCCCATATTTCATTATTTCACAGAGCATCTCCAGCCCTCAAAAAGTTACACCACAGGACATGTCCCAACCCCAAAAATGACTCCACAGGGCATCTCCAGCTCCAAGAAGTTCCACCACAGGGCGTGTCCCAACCCTCCAAAAAATGACTTCATGGGGAATCTCCCAGCCCCAAAAATGCCTCCACAGGGCATCTCCAGCCTTTCCTCCCTCAGAGCCCCCGCCCTGCTTCCATGGAAACTTTTCCTCACTCGAGGCTTGTGTGTCCAGATAAGAGCAGTGATTAGAGGAACAAAACCAGTTTTTATCAGCTCCAGTGGTGAGCAGGCAGCATTAGCATGAAAAGGAGCAGAAAAAGCCTCTTGTGAGAACATTTATCCTCCAAACCAGACCCCCAGAGAGCTGGGAACACAGCTGAGAGCTGATATCCCAAAAAAAGAGATTGGGGAAGAACAAGAAGCTCCTTCCAGGCAGGCAGAATATCAGAATGGGGAGGGTTGGAGGTGAATTTATGGGAAATTAGAGCAGAGTCCCCGTCTCTGCATCTCCTCCTGTACACTCCCAACTGTCTGGCCTGGATTTCTGGCTGCTCTTGCTGGAAAAAGGGAATTTTTGGTGCCCTGAGGTGCCTCAGGCACAGATTCCTGCTCCCCACTGATGGCTCAGCATCTGGGAACCATCACTTTCCCCTCCACACATGAAAACATTCACGTCTCTCCCAAACTATTCACAGGCAATTTTCTCCTGACAAAGCTCCAAACTGGGAGATTTCAGGCCAAAAAAAAGGTGCCATTTATGTACTCATTCCCTGTTCCTGACTCTGTTGAACTGATTACAAGAAATAGGGGTTAAACAATGATTAAAAAATTAAAAACAGGGAGAAAGAACTAAATCCCCTCAAATTTTGGCAAGTCCAAGATGCCTCCTCTTCCCGAGGGAGTTCTCCTCCCCCTTCCCTGTGTCTTTTTGCAGAACATGTCATAAATCAGTGATTTCCACTGGGCATTTCCCTTTTTCCCTCTCCCCCACCACGATCACCCACAGAGGGTAAAACCACGGCAGAATCTGCCAGGACTGGGAGCTGCTCCCAGGCCTGAGCGTGGAAAGGGAGCAAAGGGCCAAGAACAAATTCAAAAGGAGCAGCTCCCTGTTCTCAGTGCTGATCCTGAGCACAGAATCTTCATTCAAATCAATGCTGCTTGAAAATAATTGGATTTATATTTTACCTTTGAGTTTTGGAGAGGGAAGCAGCGACCAGAGCATTCCTTAAAATGATTGAATGGCTCTGTTCCAGTCTCAATATTGAAATCTTTGTCAAAGAGTCAAATTTGATAGCGAGAGTTGAAACACTCAAGAGTCATTTTAATCTTTAAATGAAGAATTTTGTTTACTCTGTGGTTTACATTAAGGTATGAAAAATGTCCCAGTGAAGGATGAGGAGAAACAGCCCAAAAAGGGCATGGAAGCTCCACAACTGGAGCATTTTCAGAACATTTAATGCCAGTTTGTGATATTACAACTCCAAACAACATGAACTATGAACTAATCAGCCCTTCCCTCTCCTTTTCTGTCATCCACTCAGATCAAGAACTCACTCAGGTTAAAAGCCAGGGGTTTCTTTAATTATTATTCTTATTTTCCAGCAGGACCATGAGCACAGCTGCCTGGCCTGGCCCAAAGAGGAGCCAAAGCAGAGGTGAAACCAGCAGTGAACAGCCAGAATTAAATGTTTCTTTTCCTTTTAGTGCTGCCTTGAGACACTGGGTGAAACCTGACCTTGATAAACTCTGCCTGGAACAGCCCAGAGATGAGAAACCCTCTGCATTTCTGCATTTTAGCACTATTTTAAAAATTAAGAGGCAACAGCAGCCACTACACACCAAACCTGTGCTTTGGGGTGTAACAGGAGTTGAAAACACAGATGTAAAATTTGAAAAATGATCTTGATTTGCTCCTATTTTCCTCCCAAAGCCCCTGTGAGCTGCACCTACCTTCGTACATCTCCAGGATGTGAACGGTGTCCCCCACCTGCAGGGACAGCTCCACGTCCTGCACGGCCTCATAGTTGTAGATGGCTGAAAAATGGGGAGAAAAAGGGACAAATCAGAACCATGAGGGAATCAGCTCTGGGAATGGGCTCTGCAAAGGCAGGGCAGGGTTTGGGGAAGGAACAAAGGGATGGAGTCACCCTGGGTATGGAATACACGGGGAAAGGGCATCACGTGTCAGTCTGCAGAGTTTACCATGGACAAGCATCACTAACAGGCAACAAAGGGGGTTTTACCTTCCAGACAGGCCTGGGACACCTTCTGGGGAGCTGAGCACTCCCACCGGGCCAAAAACCTGCCCACAGAGCTGCCAGCACCTCAGGCACATCACTTCTGTCATCACCATTTTCCAGTCTGTCTCCAGCATCAGAACACACCAGAAATGGGATGCTGAAATAAAACCCACCCCATCCCACCCCAAACCACTCCTTCCCAAACCAAACCACACTTGTTTGCTGCCAAAGGCTCTCCCCAGCCAAGAACCAATTTTAGCACCAAAACTTGGGATTCTGTGTGAATTTAATCCCTCCCAAAGACAAAGTTAAGCTGGATGCTGATGGGATTTCCAGGGGAAGAGGATTAAGTGCTGGAGTGCCTTTTCCCTGGGACTTGCTGCAGATTCACTGGGCAAAGCAGAGCCCTCTGGGGCCAGGTGAGAAAGTTTAAATGGAATTTCCTTTCAAACCAAGTAAAAAGACATAAAATCAATGAAATGTTTTGCTGTGGTTCAAGGAATTGTCAGCAAAGTCAGAGCAGATCAAACCCAGACCCCCTGATTTATTTAAAATACTGATTTAAGAATAGATCACATCCTGAATGCAGCAATGAAATCCTAAATTTCAGCAATGAAATCTTCCCAAACACAAAGTTCCCATATTTATGTATCCCTAAGGAAATCCATTGGTGAACAAACACATTTGTTTTAAAGAAATCAAGAAAAAACCCAGCCAAACATTTTCAGAGGAGAACTCGTGAGACTTCCCAAGGCTTGTGTTTGAGGAGCTCTGGACTGGAAATGAAATAAATAAATAAAACCCAGAGCTCTTCTGCCAGGAAATTCCCATGGAGTGCCTCCCATTGCCGTGGGGTGAGGGCTCTGCCTCCTGGCAGGGCTCCAGCACAGCCTGGGGCTTTCAGCACCACAAACTCTCCCAGATCAGAGCTTTCTTCAAAATATTGTGGCCACAAACATCCCAGCAGGAGCAGCCTGGGGATGTGCATCCCTGCAGGATCCCTGACCCCAGGGCAGGGTTTGCTTCCTGGGGCCACACACACATGGACAATGCTCTGAATCCATGATTTCCACAGGAATTTTACTGGATTTCTGCTCCTAAGAGCTGCTTCCACACCCACCTTCCTCTCCCTCCCCACAAAGGGGCTGCAAATCAGGATTTTAAAGCTGGCTGGTGAGCTGGCTGTGTAGCCCAGACACCTTAAACACCCCAGACCTGGCCCAGAAGTAAAAATTCCATTCACATTCTAACAGAAAAATCTGGATAATGTTCATGGCCAAAGCTGAATGTGAATGAGAAGTGTGGAGTGGTTTGGGAGGGGATTTAAATCCCACCCAGTGCCAGGGCAGGGACAGCTCCCACTGTGCCAGGGGCTCCAGCCTGGCCTTGGGCACTTCAGGGATCCAGGGGCAGCCCTAGCTCCCTGGGAATCCCATCCCAGCTGCACAGGGAACAATTCCTGCCCAACATCCATCCATCCATCCATCCCTGCCCTCTGGCAGTGGGAGCCGTTCCCTGTGTCCTGTCCCTCCATCCCCTGTGCAAATCCCTCTCCTGGAGCCCCTTTGGGCCCTGCAAGGGGCTCTGAGCTCTCCTTGGATCCTTCCCTTCCCCGGGTGAGCATTCCCAGCTCTCCCTTCCCCAGGTGGGCATTCCCAGATCTCCCTGGATCCTTCTGCAGATGAACATTCCCATCTCTCCCCCAGCTCTCCCTTCCCCAGATGAACATTCTCAGCTCTCCCTGGAATTTCCCCTCCCCAGCTGAGCATTCCCAGCTCTCCCAGCCCTGCAGAGGGGTTCCAGCCCTGCAGAGGGGTTCCAGCCCTGCAGCCCCCTCAGTTCCCCCCCGGCCTGGCCCCTGCAGGGCTGCTGCACCCAGGGATTCCCACACACAATCCCCACATGCCCCCATGGTATTTTCTGGGACAATCACCCATTATACAAACACCAGGCTGCATTTTTCCCATCAAATGCTGCCCAGGGAAAGGTGGGTGGACACAGGCCCAGCCTTCCTGCTGGGAACACAGAGTTAATTCAGCCCAGCCATCCCTTCCCCTTCCTGAAGATCACAGCAGCCACAAGACAGAACCAAGCCCTGCACTCCCCTTCCCTTCCCCTTGCCTGCTCCACCAGGCAGGTTTCACATCCCAACACGCAGCATTTACAACCTGGAGGAACTCCCACATCAAAAAAACCAACAAAAAAAAGTCAATTTTATCTTTCCTTGCCCTGCCAGACTGAACTAAGCCAGAACAGAGGGTCACTGTCTGAAACCTCCTCCCTCATGCTTATGTACAAGATTATAAAAGACAAATTGCTGGCATATTTTCCCTGGGAACTTTGCTGGTTGCAGTGAAGTTTCCTGCTGCTGGAAGTCAGAGCTGTCCCCAGCCATCCCATCTGCAGGGATTTGTGCTGGGAGCCCCTTCCCTGACCTCTCACTGACTTGAAAGGAAAAGGAAGCTCCACATCACTAACATGGGCATGGTGTGGAAAAATAAAACCCCTCCACTTAAATCCTGACAGAGCAGCAAGAAAGGAAGAAGGAAAAATAATACAGAGACTTTTGTATTCAAATTTGCAGCAATATCTGAAGTTGTCTTTTTGCTCCGAGCTAAACTTCAGCTGCGATTTTGTCCTTTGAAATTCACTTCAGAGTGTTGATCCTGCTCCTTTCATCATCCCAGATGAAAAGCAGCACTGAAATTGAGGAAATTTAATCCAAATACGGAGGCAGAGGTGGAAAACACGAGCTGGGTTTGTTTAATGATCATTTCTTCCAGCATGACTGGAGGCAATGTCTCGTGTTTGGTTTAGTGCTTCAGTTTGGTTAAAAGGTGAAGAATGTGTTTTCCAAGGGCACCCAGCCCATGGAATCCATCAGGTTTGGAAAGGGCAGCAGATAATTCCACGAGCAGTTGGTTTTATGGCACAGCCAGGGCCAGAATTGAAGATAAGCAGCAATTTTCATGCTCTAGGGCAGAGGGTGATTCCTCGGAGGGGCTGGAGGAGGAACCCTGAGGGCATTGCACAACCTGGGGATGGATGCTCTGCCCCAAAGTCACCCCAAAGCAGGGACTGCAGGAGTGGCACAGGAAAGCTGGCACAGCCTGGGCTCCCCAGGGTGGCACAGGGAGCAGCTCTGGCCCTGGGCACAGGTCAGCCCCAGCACACAGCCCTGGGCACAGGTCAGCCCCAGCACACAGCCCTGAGCCAGGCCCTCAGACCAGGCACAAAACAACAAGAACAAGAACAACAGCACAATTCTACTGCAAGCAAAAACCCCCAAACACACTTTAAAAGCCCCACCAAGCTCCTCTGTGTGCAAGAGCCCAGGGAGAAGCCTCAGCCTGCAAGAGGTCTGTGAGCAGCTCATGGAACCTGAGCTGGGCTCAGGGGAACCAGGGACAGATGTGGCATTTTCAGGGGAACGGCTTCAAAGTGACAGAGAGGAGGGTTAGATGGGATATTGGGCAGGAATTGTTCCCTGGGAGGGTGGGATGGGATTCCCAGGGAGCTGGGGCTGCCCCTGGATCCCTGGCAGTGCCCAAGGCCAGGCTGGAGCACCCCAGGACAGGGGAAGGTGTCCCTGGATGCCAGGGTGGGATGGGATGAGCTGCTAAGTCTCTTCCAACCCAACCATTTTATGATTCCATGTTTCTGTTAATTCCCAGACCCCATTTTTCCCACAGATTAATTCCTTCCCAAGACTGCCCTGAAAGCCAAGCTGGGCTGAAATGCCTCAAAACGCAAAGAGGACGAAGCAGGAAACATCACACACAATTTCTGTGTAACTCAAATCAGAAGGAAATGGAATCTTCCCCTCCATGAGGGCACTTGAAATGTGAATTATTGGCTGGAAAACAGAGCCCCTGCAAGATCCATTATCTGTGAGCTGGCTCTGAACCCCCCGCCCCACCCAGCACAAAGACACACCAGCCCTGTCCAAATGCCACGGCCGCTCCCCCTGCCCCCCATCTGCCAGCAGAGGCTGGGGAGCCCCCCAGAACAAAGGATCCCATTCAGGAGCCCAGCCCCAGCTCATTCCATCCCTCAGCCCCACAGCCAAAGCCCAGAGCCAGAACCAGAGTGATCTGAGCTCTGCTGCAGCACCAGGAATGGCTTTGCTGCAGGACAGCCCTGCTTGGAGGAGCCCGGGATGGTCCCGGTGCCAAGATCCAGCCAAACACACAGTGGCTTTATTGAAAAAACAAGGAACTACCCAAGGAATTCATTCTTCAGAAGAACAAAGTCTTTTTTATGTATGGAGCAAAAACATTCTGGTAACTTCCCAGGAATTTGTGTCTGACAAACTGAGAATGGCTTGATTAAGATTTAGATAAAAAAAGTAATTCATGGTTCAACACGGGGAAATATGGACATTTAGTCACTGTTATGGGAAAATTCCTACTCCTGAATGGTGCTTGCTGCCATTCAGATCAACTCCAAAAGTTCAGAGCGAGTGCTGAGCATTTGAGGTATCAGTACCTCAGATTTAATGGGATTATGCAGCTGGAAATGCTTTCATTGACAGCCACCCTTAGACAGCAGAGTGAGCTGCAGGCGCCCCATCCCCGCCCAGGGAATGAGAGGATCTTCAGGGTCCTTTCCAGCCCCAAACTCCTGCAATTCTGGGGGTTCATGACTTCAGCACCTTGTGCACTCCCTGGTCCAGGCTGACCTCACACAATGAACACACTCCACATTTCTAAACTGGGTTATCTCAGAAATGAGCATGAAATCATCTGAGCAATGACATCAGCTGCCTCTGCAGGAGGATGGGACGTGCCCTTT